ATGCATCTACTGTCAATTTTTATCTGAAATTGTGATGCTAAATTAGCTCTACATACAACATCAGTATGCTCATCAGGTTTTGTGGCAAATACAGCCAGACACATTGAAAAAAAAAAAAAAAAAGGAATGAGTAGTTTCTTGCCCCAAACAGTGCCCCGAGAATAGGACAAATCAATGCTTTCTTATTCTTATAAGCTGATTAACTGATCTGCAAGACCAGTGATTTCTTTCTAATCTGATTAGTGGATGTGGTTAGTGCAGTGTTGGGAGAGAAAGTAGCTATGCGGACAGATTCATCATCGCACAAATGTAGGGCTTAAGAGTGGCTCAGCAGGCTCTTAAGGATTCTGCCGGCTGGATAAAATTACAACTGACTCCTCTGCGTGAGAATTTACACGAGGCAGACAGCGCTGGAAACCTTTAAATTAAATCTGCCGGCTTGTCTGTTGCCTCTGTTTGAAAGCATTGGAAGTGCACAATCAATAAGCACAATAATCGTCTGGTAATAGAGGCATAACTTCAGAGGTACTGTGCCAGAGAAAGGGGTGCATTGTTATGAAAGTTATAGACCGGTTTATAATGGTATGAAGGTTTGTGAAGAAGTGTTTTGGTATCAAAATGTAAGACATTTCTTTTCACATAGTGTTTTAATTCATGCCTTTTTTGACCACTTTGAGGTTCTTTATCTTAAATGTCTATGGCTTGGGTGTTTAAGCATGAATTTTTATATTGTTTTGATTTTATATTTTGAAAAAATAATGCACAATTTACAGTTGAAATCAGAATTATTAAACCCTCTTTAAAATTGCTTTTCTTTTTAAACATTTCGCCAAATTATGTTTAACAGAGCAAGGAAATTTTCACAGGATGTCTGATAATATTTTTTCTTCTGGAGAAAGTCCATTTATTTTATTTCGGCTAGAATAAAAGCAGTTTTTATTTTTTTAAACACCATGTTAAGGTCAAAATTATAAGCCCCTTTAAGCTCTTTTTTCCCGATATTCTACAAAACAAACCATCCTTATACAATAACTTGCCTAATTCCCCTAACCTAGTTAACCTAATTAACCTAGTTAAGCCTTCAAATGTCACTTTAAGCTGCATAGAAATGTCTTGAAACATATATAGTAAATATTATTTACTATCGTAATGGCAAAGATAAAATAAATCAGTTATTAGAAATTAAAACTATTATGTTTAGAAATGAAGATGAAACAAATATTCTCTCTCTTAAAGAGAAATTGGGGTAAAAAATAAACGGGGGGGCTAATAATTCAGGGAGGGCTATTAATACTGATTGCAACTGTACATATGAGCATGAAAGGAGATGGTAAAAAATGATACGGAAAGCAGCAGAATTCACTTCGGTTAAAAACAAAACATTAACTACACTGAAATCTGTGGGCTTTTGTTAGAATCTAAAGATGTTTTACATTTATTTCCACCTTCAGTTAAACTTTAGAATGTAAAGCTTAGGTCCTTTCTAGGTAGTGCGCTTTATTTACATGTTCTCTAGGTTATAGAATTGGTTTGTTTTAGTTTGAGAATTAAAGCATTGTATTTAAAGAGTGCACACGTGCTGGAGAAACCTGGAGGTATGCAAGGGACATGCAAAAGAAAAATTCTGTCATCATTTTTCCATTTGTTTCAAACCTGTTTATATCTTGTATTAAGGTCTGTAAAGAAGTGTTTTGGTATGACAAATAGACATGCAAGACATTTTTGTTTACAACTATGCTGCGTCCCAATTAGCATACTTTTACTACGCCCTAAAAGTATTTATTTTTTTGTGAAGGAAAAACATATACTTTTGAATGTGTAACAGAAGAATATGCAAGCTTTCGGACATACTACTACCTCGTTAAGAGATGGTGTTGCTTAGTTATGAACTCTGTCAATCTTCCACACATCATCCACATTTCTGTCATATTTAATTTCTTAGAGAAGCAGCAGCAGGTTAATCTGCCATTCACGAGTCTTTCATGCAGAGAAATCTCCTCAGGTCTTTGGATAATTACATTTAGATGTTAATGTCCAAATACATCTTTATATAAGTTCAGAATTGTTGTTGCAGATGAAATATAACACAGAAAAGGCGATTTCAATATTTTATAGTGGGCTAGATTTTAATCAACACTCATACAAACATCTTTTTTCAAAGTTTCTCTACTTGACGGTTGGTCTCGCACATCCTAGTTTATTTACACTTTGACTTCTAATCAAATTCACATCCAACGCCCAGTGTACTGTGGGCAATTTTAGCAGTTAGAGTATGGACAGTTCTACACTTAAATTTTTTTTACCAGAAACAGTAAACCATCCAGGAACCTTTGACATACCCTTTTCCACATACTACTATTTGGGACAGTTTTTGAAAATAGAATTACTATTTTGGACAGATAGTATGCAAATTAGGACACAGCACTAGTGTTTTAATTCATGCCTTGACCACTTTGAGGTTTACGAAAGAAGAAATGTTTGAGAGTTTCTCTCTTGAGCACAAAGGAAAAGGCTGCTTTTCCCACCATTCATCAGAATATCTTGTTTTGTGGTTTACAGAAGAAGTTCAAAAATATTTTGAACCACCGAGTAAATAATAAAGGAATTTTAATTTTGGGTGAATTATCCCTTTAATACTAGGTCTAAACTGGGCTCAAGAGGGTTAGGAGTGTGTAAAACTTCTAGCAACAAAGATCGTTTAACACGGTCCGAAAGCTGTTATTTTATATGTATTATATTTCTTTATTTTTTTTTACATTATTATATTTCAGAATGTTTTTTAGCTCCGGTTTCCCCCACAAGTCCATTGACATGTGGTATAGGACATGTTCCCAAAATAGTGGTTTATAAATAAACTTTGAATTGATTTGAATAGTATTAAATGACACTGATGCAGCACCATTAAAAATCTTAAATGATCTGTGATGCTCCTCAGAGACTCTTTTTGCTAATGCCACTCTAAAACTTGCGATTCCAGCTTGCCAGATGTACACTTAGAAACCCTGCTGATCTCAAATCATCTTTCATCAGTGATCTATAACCGCTCTCCACAGAGTGGCTCATTAGCTCTTTATGCTGCGATGCACAGTCTAGAAATAAAAATCACAGCAAAAGGAGAATCATGACAGAAGCTGGAGTCATCTAGTCCAAACAGCTTATTTTTGCATGTGCATTTTCAATGTGTTCGGATATACCACACATTTAAAACTACTCATAAAATTTTAGTTTTTGCTCCACAGAAATGATAATTACATTATTAACCCAGGGTCTCTGACTTTCCTATAGGCCCCCTTTTTTACACTTAAGATTAATGCATTTGTTGATCTGCATGGTCAAAAGTGGTCAATGCTGGATGTAAACAAGGTTTAAAATGTTTTGTCCAGTTTCAGAGGTAGTTACCTTTCAACACCAAATACTGAAAATTTTAAGAGAAAAAAAGAGGTATCTTTCAAGGAGTGGCATAGTTTCGGCCAGAGTTTGGTGCAAATGTGTTAAGAGTGGGAGATGGTAAACCTAGAGTGGATTGAAAATGTTTTGAGCATGGAGTGGAAATTCTTGTTGCTCTACTCCACTCACATACTCTGGTCAGAGAGACTGTGTAAAGAAAAAAAAAAAAAAAACACAAGACAAAAAAAAATAAATAAATAAAAAAAAAAAATAAAATAAAATATATATATATATATATATATATATATATATATATATATATATATATATATATATATATATATATATATTATCCAATACTTTAAATTTGGACTGCACCTTCAAGTACAGTGTATTCGTAAAATAATTTCCACTTTTTCTACATTTTACGTTACAGCCTTATTCCAAATTAGATTATAAAAATAATATTAAATAACAAAATATTGTATATATTAAGGCGATGCAGTGGCGCAGTAGGTAGTGCTGTCGCCTCACAGCAAGAAGGTCGCTGGTTTGAGCCTCGGCTGGGTCAGTTGGGGTTTCTATGTGAAGTTTGCCTGTTCTCCCTGCGTTCGCATGGGTTTCCTCTGGGTCCAAAGACTTGCGGTACAGGTAAATTGGGTAGGCTAAATTGTCTGGAGTGTATGAATGTGAATGAGTGTGTATGGATGATTCCCAGAGATGGTTTGCAACTGGAAGGGCATCCGCTGTGTAAAACGTGCTGGATGAGTTGACGGTTCATTCCGCTGTGACGACCCCGGATTAATAAAGGGACTAAGCCAGAAAGAAAATGAAGGAATAAATGTATATATTGAAGCATGGCGGTGGCAACATCATGCGTTTGGCATGTTTTTCAAAAGCAGGAATTGGCAGACAACTCAGGACTGAAAAAAAGATGAATTCAGTGACAACCTTAAGCCAGTGTGTCATAATTTTCGTGACAAACAAATTTCTACCAACGAAAATTAGAAGAAAACTAAAAAAAATTAAGTGATGATGACGACAACTATAAAAAAATATAATGAGATATTTGTATATTCGTCAACTATTTTTTGGATAATATCCAATCCAATTTAATTATGGTGTGTGATGCATAATGCACGCACACACACACACACACACACACACACTTGAAAATAACTGATCCACAGAAGAAACGGGATGAGATTACATCATCATCCATAAAGATCATCCTTTTAAAGATTTAATTACATAAAATTTTTAATTGCATAAAATTGCTGTTTGGAGCTTATGTAGGCCTACAGATTAAATTCATGTTGAACTAAATAAACAGTAACTAAACACAAGTACATCTTATTGAACAATTTATTCAAGCAAAAATAAATGTTTAAATAAACAATGTTACTGTTAGTGTGGTATTTGTGACCCCTGATAAATGTATTGCTTGTGTTTACAGCATGTTCAGCAACATAAGCATGCGGATGTGCCACTAAATACAAATATTAAAACAAACAAACAAAAGAACAATTAAAACAAAATATTTTTTTCCACGATTAACGTTAAATGAAAATAGTACATATGTGGACTCTTGAACAAAGCCACTGAGATCTCACCATCTCCATGTATCTCTGCTTCTCCTCCTGCTTTTGCCTCAGGTAAGCATCTTGTTGGATTTCCTCATTCCTCTCTACCAAACAAACAGATTATATTTAATAGTAGCAAAATATAATACACTAATAAAATACAACAACATAGCTGAACTACACTTACTTGACCATGGCGCTTGATTTGCAGCAGCATTTGTGGCTTTAAAACAACAACAACACAAGATTGTTAAGGATATCTAGCCAGTCTTAACCTTTATTTCTAATACTTTCATACTCCACCGTGCGCTTTGTTGGATCCATATTCAAAGAACCAAATTAGACCTAAATGTCAAAAGCGTCATGATGCAGTTACCATAACGTTAAAGGGTTTTAATGTTTTCCACAGCTCATTTATACAGCCACTTTACACACATACTATAAAGCTACTTACTGTTCGGGGTTTTCGCAACTTTTAAGCGCTGTCTGATGTCGGAAGAAACGAGACGGGACTCTATCGGTGGTTGAAGAGAAAGAGAATTCCAGAAAAGCTTTGCGTACGCCACATCTTCTTGCGACGCTCCATGAAAAACTGTATACAATTTTTCGACTTCTGTAAGACCGTCTAAAACCTCTTCGTCTAGTTCTTCACTCATGGTTTGCAAGCAATAGGTAGCCGTTACATGTGTATTGCCGTTACCAAGGTAACCCCTCACTAGTAGACGGAAGTAAGTAAATCAAAAAGAAAAGTAGAAGGACGATACATTCAAAATACTTATTTCGAAGGGGGAGACACTAAAAACAAACAATTTAATTGTTTACCTATTGGTTACGCTGTGTAACCAAAATATACACGTTTTGAAAAGTAAAACATTTCTTTCGCCCCCTGGTGGCGAGCGGTATGAATAATAAACTCGCCCTCGTGCTTTTTTTATAACGTTCGCTACAAGATGTGGTTGGCAAGGTAAGATTTAGCTTGTTTTCTTTATTTAATCTTATGTATAATTTTTCAAAAAGATTTTTTTGAAGTTTCATGTAGTTAATAAGTATCTAAGCCTATACATTTGGTGTTACAAACCATCATGTAAAGAATCTATCTGAGGATGTATGCGCATATTTTTAACCTATATCCAGTATGCACATTATGATAATATATACGCTGCATATATGTGTATGCCATAAATAGGCAACATTGAGGTGCATATAGGTGCAAATAACAATTAGAAACTGATTTTGTCCATCTTAGATTTATGATCAAACATGTTTGCTTTATTTTCTTCTTATATTTATGAACTGTTTGTTTTCTGATGTGTATGCCGGTCTTCAGTTTTGACCTGTACTATTAACACAGTATTAGTTTTATTTTTTCAGTACATTTTAAAGTTACAAACGTATATAGTAGATATATTAGGGCTGTGCAACTTGACAATGGACAAAATAAAAAGTCTATTATTTCATATTATACTCAATTGTTGATTTTGTGATGTTCATTTCATATTATTTTTGGTAATACACTTTTATTATTTATGAGCACAATCTTTCAAACCACTAGGGGATGCACATTGTAAATAAAAAAAGTTGACAAATTAAAAATCAAGGCTACAAACGTCCATTTTTAACCCAATTAATGCAGTTGACTCGATTTTAGTTTGAGTAAACTCAAAAATGTCCTGAAGTTTGATGCCTAAAATATTCAGTTGAGTCAACTTTTATACAGTGCAGACAGAAGCAATAATGCAGCATTTCGAAAAGTGTGCATTGTGCAGTTTATTTTGTGATTTTATTATTTTTAAGTTGGACCTGTATTTCCCAGAGATTGGTTGCGGCTGAAAGGGCATCCGCTGCGTAAAAACTTGCTGGATAAGTTGGCAGTTCATTCCGCTGTGGCGACCCCGGATTAATAAAGGGACTAAGGCGACAAGAAAATGAATGATTGAAGTTGGACCTGTAATCATCTGTTTTTGAAAAGTATTTTATATTTTAATACCATTTATTTTATATTGCAGCATTTTTAATCAAACATTTGCTTTGAAATTTTAAATAAAGCTATTAATATGATCACATGTGAATGAGTAAATTACTGAGTGCATACTTTAAAATATAATAAGGAAATAGTCCTTCACATGTGGTCAATAGCCTATACATAAACCATTTACTGATTCAAATTTATATCAATCTATATCGTTACCAGGATATCAGATGACTTTACACATATCCAAAATGCCAAACTGGAACTGCCTACAGCAGCATGTTCCAAACTTCAAATAATGTAATTACTACATTTTTTCAGAGGAAATAGCTCTCTATATGTTATCAATTGACAAAAATGAAAAAGTAATGTAAATTAATGACTTGATTAATTCATATTTAAATGAACCTGACTATGATTCATTAATGTAAGAAAGACATTAAAGAGTAGCCTACTACATAAATAAACTAGCACACAATTTGGTATGTTTTTCACTTTATTATCAGATGTGTCATTCCAGAAACAGGAAAAAATTCTTTAAATAACAGTGTGTATGTTGTTTTGTTACTAGCCTTCACCTGGTAGTGAGGTTAGTGATTACTTTATGGATTGTAATCAACTAACTGCACTGCCTGGTGACCACACAGCATAATCCGATAGGGTCAGTTTATCATTATCCTAAAGTCTCCGGCAGAACCTGAAAGTCCTGTCAGAACTACATCACAAAAGTTAGAACTTAACAGTATAAACCCTACAAAAAATTGCCACCGGTCAGACAGTTATACCAGCTTTGTGTTTCCTTGTAGGTTGTTGTGTTGGCAGTATGGTTAGTGATTATAGTTCATATGAAACAATCAGCTAACAACACTGCCTACAGACCAACCCCAACATGTTAATATATTAGCGCTTCTATCCATCTGTGAAGATAAGACATACAAACAAATGTTACAATAGGATAGTCATTGCAATATAGACCTACAGGCATATTTATACAACTCAAAATCCTAGCATCACACTTCAGAAGTAAACTAAAGATTGTGACAAATTGTGACATGCTACTTTGAATATTCAGTCAAAAAGCATGCAAGTATGACTTCAAAACAGTACCAGCAGTATTTAATTGACTGTGGCTGCTAATATAATTTCCCTATTTAGAATGATCAAACAATACTTTTCTGAAAATATAATATTTAGGATGGAGTCAGAATGTGCAAAATGTAAAGTTAACTTTACCCCAATGTAGAGAAGCAGATTCCACAAATAACATGTTTCAAGTAAGAAGCCCCCTAACGGAAGGCTTTTGCACTCTCAAGGTATGTTCATCTGTTGTCGTTACGCTACTGCAACATCTCCAGGTGGGGTTGAATATGCAATATTTAAATTACAGGCAAGTTAAGCTGTCACATAATCTGCTGTAGAAATGGAGCTCCGTCAAAACTAACAATTAAAACTAGTCAAACTTACCTGAAGACACTCATTTGTGGTTCCTTCGGGCCAGATAGAAGGTTTGGATTCAGCACACATCACTGACAGTATTTATAGCCAGAGGAGATTGTTCAAATTCAGCGCCAGTTGAGGCGGGAGTCACAGAGCGCGAATCAAGGCGCTCTCCGCTTTTTCTCCCAGTAAAATAAGCTGCAGAGCACCCTACAATTGTAGAAAGCATCGGAATGTACGTAGCCTTAAGTAATACATTTTACTAATCTAAATAGCCTAATTTGATTCTGCACTCCTAAAACACTGAATTAATCATTTCTACGCTTGATTATTTTTTAATACTATCGTATTTTAAAAATGAATGAACGAAATGTTTTAGGTCTTTAAATATCCTGTATGCCTATACTTTCACAATTGCGGGCTTTTTCTTTCTGAAAAAAAGATTTCCAATGATTCACATACTTATTCTTACAGATGGAGGTAAAGGTGGTTTTATATTTGCACATTCGTTCCGTGACAACTTGTGGCACGCTCCCAAAATTAATTACCATGGTAATTTTAAAATTCTGGCTGAAATCTCATGCCAAATGACTTTAAAACAACATTACCACTATTTATTTGACTGTAAACACTGTACTACTTCATTAGCTGCTAATATGATTTTACAATTAGAAATTAGCAAAGAATTCTGAAATTTTATAATTTACGGAGAAAGTCCAAATGTGTGAATAACCAACTTTACCTCAATTACAGCATCGTTCATAACAGGCTACTTCGAGTAATAATAATAATAATAATAATAATAATAATAATAATAATAATAATTATAAACAATCCCGCTGTTGTTGCCAGGAAACAATTACTTTAGGCTACTAAATGCGCGTTCATATTTTGCAACAGGTTCAAATGCCAGTTTAGTTCGATTTTAGAGTCTGAATTAACTTTTATTAGCCACAAAAAAAAAAAAAAAAAAACCAAACACCCAAGGATTGAAATACATAATTGTTCAGCCGTTACCTGCTACAATTCCTATGTTGAAAGAAAGTCAACCATAACGAAGCTTGGAGACAACAAAAAAATCGGAGGCCCATATCTATGTCGACGCTGAAAACAAGCTATGTTATTAACTGTTGGTAGGCAATGCTTAACAGTGTGTTTGTAGTGGACAATGGGTCTCTGGACTGGGTTGCCAAAGAGACCATTTAGTCCATGCGAAAACAGGTCTAGACTTGCCTATGGGGACTTGGCAAAAGGAAAAAAACTTAAACTATCCCTCTAAAAAGTTTGCTCAATTGATACACATTCAAATAAAATACTTGTCTGTAATTTGATTCAGTTCAGGATCTTTGTTAATTAACATAGGTTCATCTTCTAACTAGGAAGGGCATTATTAGTTCCTCCCACAATTTGAGACACCTGTTCAATCTAATTACAGCTCAGCACATCTGAGACTTTAAAAAGCTAAAAGATGTCAAAAACAACTGACTTTCTTTCCTGTGAAACTAACATGATTTTGCGTAGCTAAAGTAAAACAACCGAACACTATTTAAGCTGTCAAGTAGGAGTACAAGATAACCAGTTTGTTTGCTTTAATTGTAACTGAAGTTTTAAGACATTTTAATAGTTTTTTATATGTAAATATATATTAAAAAGCATTAGAAAAACAGTTTGTCCTATTGGCCCACAAAAATATAGTTGAAAATGAAGGAAGAAATTGCAGCCACAGTGTTTTTTATTGCAAGACTAGCAAAGAAGCATGGTAAACTGGATCGTGTTCGGAGAGAGAAGTTTGCTGTGGAACTAACTTCTGTACTCTTTGAAAATTACAAATGTCATTGGTACCCAGAAAACCCAACCAAAGGACAAGCATTTAGGCAAGTTTCCTTCAAGTTGATTCTAACTTAATACAATTTATTTTATTATTTTTGGATCGTTTGAGCACTTTATATGAATGCTCAAGTGTTTCCACTATATGTTTAGGTGTCTAAGGATGAACAGAGCTCAAACAAGAGACCCTGTTATTGAGCGTGCTTGTTGTCAGAGTGACATTGTATATGAATATCTTGGATTACCAAAGGAAATGACCATTTGGGTTGATCCGGGAGAGGTGTCATGCCGGTAATGCTACATTTTCTGGCCTGTTTCACTAAAGTGCTATATCTCCACTGATGACTTGATTGTAGTAAATCTAATATTGTTGTTTATTCTTCAAGGTATGGTGAAAAGTCAACCCCATTTTGTGTTACTCAGTTTGAGGGACAAAAAAGAGACGGCGAGTTCTCTCGTAGGATAAACAATGCGGTAGAAAGGGCTTCATCTGATTATCATTCTGGAACCTCTTCTGATGAGGAGGGTGGAAACACTAGTATGAGCAGCACCTTGAGTAGTAGCAACAGTAGCAGTATTTCTGTTCCTGAGCCCAAATGCATCCCAACGGTCTCCAACCCAAACAGTGTCTACCAGGTAACATTTGCATGGCATGTCTATTAAAGGATCCTCAATTTCTTTGGAAATGGGCTTAATTTTACACCCAAGTTAAACAGTTTGGTTTTACCATTTTGAATCCATTCAATTGAACTCTGCTTCTTGTTGGAGCAATTTAACTAGCCTAACTGAATTAGACAATTGACATTTAACTATATTCTTTTAATTTTATATATTTTTTTCAATTAAGTTTGCTATTTAAAGCTTTACTAGAATTGCATTTAAGACCAACAAAACAATAAAAAGTTGCTTTATTTTGGGTTAATAAGGCTAGGAACTATATTCCTTTTTGGAGTTACTGAGTAACTTTTTACTACTGTATCAATGGTGCAGCAGTAATAATACTTAGTATTATTAGTTGAATAATACTTGGTGCCTGAAAATGGTCCACAACCAGGTAACATTGTTGCCTAATATCATTGCACCTGCTTTTTCCTCTTCACTAGCATTATCGTTCCTAGCCACATTGACCTAGAAAACAACTTAATTTTCTGTCAGTT